CCTGATTCTTTTACTGACTATCTTTGGACAAACATATTGTATACACACATTGTGAACATAGAACTAAGTTAGGGACAACGGATTGAAGGTAATATGTACTCTTGACTCTTAAGGAGACAGTTAAAGGTAAATAACAATACTGAAGGGAGATATCGCAAGGCCAGTTTGCCAGGGAATTGGTACAGAAAGTCAGTGCTGCAATTTCATAGTGGAAGAATTTGTTGTGTCCTGAAGAGCTCAGAAAAATGTTCATGGGGGCAAGAAAGCTTGAACTGAATGTTGAAACATGAATAGAATTTAAATAGAAAATGAGGGGAAGGATATGAACCAAGTGGAGCGGCTAAATAGGGAGAAAATGAGGGGAAGCATATGAACCACGCGGCGCGGCAGGAATGTACAACACGTGTTTAGAAAATAAGGAGGAGACTGGGGTGGCTGGAGCAGGCTTTGGGGGACAGTGTTCTTTTAGAGAAGTGTTTGCAGGTACAGGTATTGGGACACTAGTGGTGGGTAGCTCAAATGCCCAGCTTAGAAGTTTGAAATTAATCTCATGACAACCCAAAATGTTTGAGATAGTACACGATTGAAAATATTTTGCTTTCCATTTAAAAAGGTTCTATCTCTAACATTTTGATTGTCTTCCTAGTTTTATTTTCATGGATGTATCTTATAAGTGGGATCACTTTCTGTGTACAGTTTGAAATGGAATACATCAAAGTTAAAATTGAGTCTGGATCCTGGCCATGGAAGTGTCTCCTGTTGTTGCACCAAGATGCAGGGGCCAAGTGCTGGCACTAGCAATGCACAGGTTCACTCGTGAACTGCCCACACGGCTCCAAGTTGTGTGCTTTTGTAAATGCCCTACAATCATGGTTTACATGGTGGGTTCTCAGAACCGCTGGGTCCCTGGGCCATGTCTCACGGACTGCTGTACATAAGAGGTGAGACTGTTCAGGGAGGCTTAGAGCCTCCTGCCCTTTTAAGCGACTGCAACTGCTCCACCAAGTGTTTACTAAATTGGAGTAATGCCTACATTATTATTTGAAAAGTGAATTCTGCTAAAGAAATACATTCAAGAAGTTCTTCTCCTTTACAAGCTAGACCCAGTCCAATCATTGCAGCCTCTAGAGGTAAAGAATGCCATTTTGATGGCAAAGGCTTTCAGTTTATCATTTACCTTATAACTTTCTTATGCTTTTTGACATCTTGAATTTTTTTAATATGTAGTCAAATCTGATTTTTCTTTTGTGATTTCTTTCATAATTTTTATTTGGAGAAAGTCTGTTACCATCCAGGAGAAAAGCTGCCTATACTTTTCTTTAGTTTTATATAATTTCTTCTTTATTCTTCTAATTTTAATTCTTTAATCCATCTGGAAAATTTTTAGAATATGATGTAAGGATGTGTTTAGTTATTTTATAAACAACTGTTTTACCAATTCTATTTTTTGGTTAATTTATTCCATCCCTGTTGATGTGAGTAATTTTATACAAGGATTAATTTTTATATAGTACCAATTATATTTTATTAATCTCTCTCACTGTTTATTTTGTTCAGGGTGGGGGGAGTATCAGCAATATCTGACCCTGTGCCTGACTCTTAGAAAATAGCTAGATTTCCCACTTTATCTTTTTTTCCCCAGATGAATTTGAGTCATTTTTTAATTGAAGTATAATTGATATACAATATCCTGTTCATCCCAGGTGTACATCATAGTGATTTAATATTTTTATACATTGCAAAATGATCCCCATGACAAGTCTAGTTACCATCAGTCACCAAAGTTATTATAGTATATTAACCACATTCTCTGTGCTATTCATTATATTACCATGACTTATTTTATAACTGCCAGTTTGCACCTCTTAATCCCCTTCACCTATTTAGCTGGCCCCCCAACCTCTACCCCCTCTAGATAGTCAACAGTTTGTTTCTGGTTCCTCAGTCATTATCTTCACCCCAATCCCTACAGATATCCCCCACATTGTGTTTCAGAGTGATGATGGGTAGTTTGGACAATTTCAGATAGGTGTAATCTTGTAAGGAAACTCTAAAGCAGTATTTCAGTGTTTCTTGGGCCACTTTATCAGAATTACTCAATCAGCACCTTTGAGGGTGGGACCCAGAAATATGCATTTCAAGCAAACTTTTTGGGGTTGAAAGCATCTGATGTGGAAATACAGGCACACGTGAAGAGAATTCCGCACAGACTAGGCCTGAGGCAATAGGGTCAAAATAAAGGTGGTGGTAGTGATACAAAAACAGACAGGTATAATCTATTTCAAGATAAGAGTTGATATCATTTTTTTGAGCATTTATTCTTTTGAGTTTGAATTTGGGAGATTGTTAGAGGATATGCCACTGTGGAAATAGTGGATTCAGGTAGGATTTTTTTTCAGTCTGGGGGAAAACAATTAATTCAATTGTAAACATGTCAAATTCAACATGATGTCAAGATTTCTAATTATTAAATATCTAAAGTGTAGATAGACACATGTAATTTGGTTCAGGTAAGAGAGGGCTCTGAGCAAAAGATGCACAGGGGTTAAAGCATGAGTTTTGGGAGTGATGAAGTGTCCACTGTTGCCACTTAAGGCTCCATGAGCTTGAGCAGATTATCTAATTTCTCTAATCCCCAATTTTGACACATGCTTCTAAATGAGAGGTAGATATGATGATTGTCTACAGAAAGGAGATGATTGCGAAGCTGTCAAAGTAGATTACTTCTCCAGTGAGGAAGGGGTAAAAATGGGAAACAGAGGACAAAGGACTGAGTCCTGAGAAGCCACCACATTTAAAGAATGGTAGAACGAAGAACTAGTAAACCAGCATAGAATTTGGAGAAAGTACAGTTAGATAGAAAAACTTCCAGTCTCTAATATCCCATATTTTTCAGTCCCCTGTCAGACTCAGTTGGACACTGATTTCTATTATGTTTTTGTTAGCCACAGGACTCTTTCTTCAGATGGCATCTGTGGACAGTCTGGTGTGTAAAACCGGCAAGGGGAGATGGGAGGTGCTCTGGCTGAAGTAGGGCTGGTGGCAGGAACCCCAGGCACTTGTCTTCTCCCTTGGCCTCTGCAAGCTGAGCTCCCACACATCTCCCTAGAGGCTTCAGCTTGAACACCACAGTGTGGGATAGTTGTAGCTTGGAGAACTACACTCACTCTGTCTATGGAGTAGCAAGGTAAACTCTAGCATACCTAAAAGTACAGGGGAAACCTGATCTTTGGTTTGTCAAAGCAATTGGCTGAGGACTGACCTGGCTTGAAGAAGACAAAGTTTGAAGTCACAGCTTTTCTATGCATGAAAGTGTTTCTGTCATCTATACCCACTTTACTGTGATCCCCCAGCATTCCAGAAATAAGTTCTACTTAGTACATTCATAGCTTTCTTGTTCTAAACCACTGTGGATACTTGTGTTATTTAAGTAAAAATATTTATTATTCTTAGTTCACCAGAAAGGTGATATTAAAGTCCCTGGAAAGAAACACAAGGAAAGCAGGTGATTATAGAGAGGCGTGCAGGAAGTTTATAGGTTTTTATCTTTCAAGACCCATTATATTTTGTTCCCTTTATCTACTACCTTAAAAATAAATCCAGAAGTTGCCTAATGTATTTTTTAAATATCTTTTATAGACATTAACCTTGATTGTTACTTTGCCTCTGTCAAGCTACTAGTATTCTAAATTCCACTTAATAAGCACTTTGCCCTCTGTTGAGAAAGATAACAATGCAAGCAATTAATTTCCTCTTTAAGACTGATTCTGGCTTTTATATTCTGGTCTTCTGGAAACTAAAATTAGACCACAAATTACTTTAATGAAGAACACAGAATTCTGCTAGGCAATAGCAACTTCCTGTAATTTTCTGAGATTTAAGGACCATGTTCCAGAATTGATATAAAAATTCAAAGCTTTCCTGGAAAAGTGGATCCATTTATAACTTACAACAACCTGGGGAGTAATTTGGCTAAATCACTGAGTTGTGGTTCTTAAATTTTTGTGTGGATAGCAACCACTCAGGTTGCTAATTAAACCCTAAGTTTCCAGGTTCCACCTTCTGTACTTTGATTTCAGTAGGTCTGGGGTAGGCCTCTGCCTTTTAATGAACTACTCCCAGTGATTCAGATACAGGTGGTCCATAGGTCACACTTTGAGAAATGCTGGAGTACAGAGTAAGCTGGCATTTAAGAAATCTTTTGAGGGATGCACTTGATAGGTTTCCTGGGAGTGACTAAACTATGGAGAATTTTCACTTTGCCCAGCAGCCCTGTGGTTATGTCAGTGAAGAGCTGCCAGGTGGTGAGCAGATGTAGGTGATCCATTTAAAGATGGAAATGAGGAAGTAAATAATCAGCAATATTGTGGTCCTACCATAATTATTCCGGCTGTGCTCGTGTTTCTGTTTTGGAAATTCCACAGGCTCCTCTGATGATACCTTAAGTAATTTTCACACTTGCTCATCTTTGGGGTCTATAAGGCTTTAAAAAATATATACAAATGGGGCACCTGTGTGGCTCAGTCGGTTAAATGTCAGACTCTTGATTTCAGCTCAGGTTGTGGTCTCAGGGTTGTGAGATTGAGCCCCACATTGGGCTCTGTTGGGTGTGGAGCCTGCTTAAGATGCTCTCTCTCCCTCTAAAAAAATGATAGATAAATAGATAGGTAGATGATAGATAGATAACCTATGCAAATCCAACTGTTAAGAAATTACCTTGATAACCATGTTTCACATTTTTATATAAGTTTATTTTCATTATCTGTTTTTCTCTCAGTATATCATCCCATATTAGAACTTTCCTTCCAAAGACACTGAAGAAGACATAATATCAAATTGTTTGAAATTGGAGCAGTTTTCCAAATTATGAAAGGGTTGTCCTTGTACTACACACAAAACTACAGATCCATTCATGGATAAGTTTCTTTTAAAGGAGATTGTGTAAAGAGAATATTATTGTGCCATCCATCTTAATAGTAACCAGATGGGGGAAGAGTTACGTTCTCTTCTGGCGATCTTCGGCTGGTGGTAGCTCTGCACAGTCATTGTTCAGACAGGCAGAGGAGTATTTGCCGGAAGAGCACCAGATGGTGTGAGAAGATACAGCCTTGAGATTTGGCTTCAGTAATTCCCAACCATTAGACCTTAGTAGCTAAATTTAGCTACTTTCTGCTCTCTGATTCCTTATTTTACATATATTATCTCATTTTCATTCATTTTTATCCGTCATTCAGTACATTTTCTTTTACACCTACAGTGTGCCATTTTCAGTGTTAGGTGCTGAGAACACACTGATAGGACTCTGGAAGGGTGATGATGGGGGTGAAGATGGAGAGAAGTTGATGAACTCACTGTGCAGTTCTAAGTTTAAATGAGATAAAGCAAGTAGACATTATTTCAAGATATAAAGTACTATACAAATGTAAATTATTAATATTTTGTTTCTCATAACCTATCCCTGTCTGCCCATGTAATTCAAATGCCCCCAGGTATCTATTTGAGGAGCCTTATAAAATAAATCTTCACTGAACACTGTATGTGATATTTAAAGAGTAGAAATAATCTAAATATCTATATAAATAAGTTATAAATTAAATATAAATTAAATTATATTTCTATACACAGGAATATGTAACAATAAATAATGACAATAAGAAACCTTTTTCATAACTTACTAGGTGCCAGGCATAACTATAAATTCATTATTTATACATTAAATTGCTTAATTATTATAACACTCCTATGAGGGAACCGAAGAAGAGGTTAAATAATTTGCCCAAAGCCTCAGAACTAAAGAGTGATGGCTTGGGATTTGGACTCAGGTGGTTTGGTCCTTAGTCTCCACATAACACTAGTCTTTCAACAGTCAGAATGAATGAAGTGGCTCTATATGTAGTGGAAAGGAAAACTCTCAAAAACATTATGAAGTGCAGAAGGGGTACCATCCCCCAAAAGAAAGAAGGCAGAAAGGAAGAAGAGGAAATCTAAATAGAAACATGCATGCATCTTCTTTATCCATTCATCTGTTGAAGGACATCTCATCTCCTTCCACAGTTTGACTATTGTGGACATTGCTGCTATGAATATTGGGGTCCATGTGCCCCTTCTTTTCACTACAATGAGATATTACTCAGCCATCAGAAAGGATGAATACCTACCATTTACAATCGACATGGATGGAACTAGAGAGTACTATGCTAAGTGAAAGAAGTCAAGCAAAGAAAGACAATTATATGGTTTCACTAATATGTGGAATATAAGGAATAGTGCAGAGGACCATAGGGGAAGGGAGGGAAAACTGAATGGGAAGAAATCAGAGAGAGAGACAAACCATGAGAGACTCTGGACTCTAGGAAACAAATTGAGGGTTGCAGAAGGGAGGGGGTATGGGGTGGGATAACTGGGTGATAGGCATTAAGGAGGGCACATGATCTGATGAGCACTGGGTGTTATATGTAACTAATGAATCATTGAACACTACATCAAAAACTAATGATGTTACTATATGTTGGCTAATTGAACTTAATAAAAAAAAGAAAGATGCATGCCTGTTTAGAGAATATCTCTGGAAGGATACACACGCACAAAAAAAATGCTAACTGTGGTTGCTTTCTGAGAGGGCCTCTAAGTAGCTGAGAACAAGGATGGAAGACTCATCTTCACTACAAACCTCCCTTGTGCCTTCTGATTTTTGTGCTGGGTGAATACATAACCAATTTTAAAAGTAAATAGATTTTTTAAATGGTAAAACCCTTATAATGAATCCTTCTGAAGCAAGTAACAGCCTTGTAATAGATATTTTACCTCCCAGTTGATATAATCTGCAATCACCGATTCATGTTTGAGGTGCCAAGAGGACCTCATTGTAGGGATAATGACTTCAGGTGATTTCTCCATATGGTGCTTTGCAGCCTGCATCAGCATGCACCTGGGAAGCAAGCAACACTCCAAGGAATTGGCTTCAGTCAACCTGCTCACTGACAGACCTAGTAGCCCAATCCAGGCTAGCCCAGAAGGTCCTCTCTGTGGTGTCTGTCACCAAGGCCAGCATATTAAGGCTTAAGAAATCTGGATGAGAAAGGAGGAAGGGATTACCCAGTGAACAGCACATCAAAGTTGTCTAATAAATACTCTCTGAATGGGTAAGCCAAAAAGAGCAAAAAGGGTGGGGGAGACCAAGAAAGTAGTGGCATAAATGTATGTGCCCCACATGTGTACAATAGTGAGATTGATTTTTCATCTACATCTGATAAATTAGCTCTAAATGAATCCTGAAACAAGTTCCCAGAATGATTTGAGCAAGAGCCATTAGCTTAAAAGTCATCAGTGATACAAAAAGTTCTATTTATAAACTTATCTTTTCCCTCAGAATTGAGTGGATGAGAACAGGATTTTAACTTTATCATCTTAGCATGTACCATTTATCCAGTCCATAAAAATTATTGAAAATTATGAAAACAAAACACAGTGTTCTATTTAGATTTGTAGTTTTAAATAGAGACTTGTAAGACTTGAATTGAGACAGGCCAATATTTGAGGTTATGGTTTCAGGATCGGTTTGGCTACCAGACAAGACAGGGCTGTAAGCCTCTTTAACTCCTCAGAGGATAGCAAATACAGTGGATGTCCAGATTGGATTCATGCATTTAAATGTATCAGAGGCCAAATTAAGTTCCTAGTCCTGAGGAGATGACACTTTACAAAATCAGAAATAGGGCGCCTGGGTGGCTCAGTTGGTTAAGCGACTGCCTTCGGCTCAAGTCATGATCCTGGAATCCGAGGATGGAGTCTTGTATCGGGGTCCCTCCTTAGCAGGGAGTCTGCTTCTCCCTCTGACCCTCACCCCTCTCATGCTCTCTCTCACTCACTCAATAAATAAAATCTTAAGAAAAATCAGAAATACATTCCACTTCTAAACACATAAAGAATATGCTATAAATTGTATTATTGTTCCAAATTTTTCTCAGTCTTCCCCATAACAAGGTTGTAATCCTCTACATTGCCATGGAACTTGAAGTAGGCCTTCTCTATGGGAGGAATATATTTCTCCATTCCATTTCTCTGAGACTTGAGCATGTGAGTGGTTTTGGTCAGTGGAATGAGAATGGAATAAACATATCGGATGTCTGAGCAGAAGTTTTAAGAGCTATCACAAAGTTGTGCCATCATTCCCCTCTGCACCTAAAATGTGCTATCATTACCCTCTACACCTGGATTCTGGAATAAAGATGATATTTGGAGCAGTCTTTGAGACAGTTCCTAGCTGATTTGTAACAAACAGGAAGTAAATCTTTGTTGTTGTAAGCACTACAATTTGGGAATTGTATTTTTACTGCAGTATAACCTAATGAAAGCTGACTGATACAGAGTGACAATTTGAATAGTCATGCTTGCTGCAGGAAATCTTTAAATGAAAAAAGATGAATGCAGTAAAACAAAAATTCCTATGCCTGCATCCTTGCTCCCTCAGACTGGGTGAATAATGGACCTGGCGGGGGGTGGGGGGTAGGCTCCTGTTAGGGATGCCCAGGTTAGTAATGAGTGAGTGGGTACCTGGGCGTCTCAGCTCCAGTTGGGACCACTCTCTGCCCTTGGCCTCTGGGTTTGTATGGATAAACACTTGGAGCTCAGAGCATGTGTTTGGCCATCTGTGATATGCAGTCTGTGAGAAAATATTTGAATTCCATGAACCCTTTGTAGGGAAAGTAGATATTTTAAAGCAGAATGTTGATGGTCTTGGCAAGCTTCACAGGCACATGGGTATCTTGTCAGTATCAACCAGGAATTACCCACTCTTGTGAAAGTGGACATGATATTTGAAGAACTAGTAGAACTTTGGCATACATCAAAGAACATGTGTAAAGAGTCAGATAATAAATAATTCAGGCTTTGCAAGTCATACCACATTTTTTGCAAATATCCAACTCTACCACTGTATTGTGAGGGCAGACATAAACAACATCTAACAAATACTTGTGGTTCTGTTCCAATGAAATCATGTTTACAAAAAATGGGTGACTGCCCAGATTTGACCTCTGGGCCGCTTTGCTGACCCTTGATCTAGTGGAAAAGAAAATGGAACTTAGTTCCATCAGTATCACACTAAGAAATTTGGTGTCAGTTAAAGAAAGTTTGTTGTACACACCTCATCCAGAGAAACTTGAAACGACCTTGCTCACCCAAGAAGTTATTAAATCATGAAGTTTACCCTTGGGAGCTATTTGGAACTTTTAATGACAAACACTGTATCATCAAACACAATGAGAAATCCAGATGCCTTGACAGGGTGATCTGCAGACTTATCACAGAGTTTGGGGATCTAGAAGCACCACCCAAGAGAGAGCATGAAACATACAGTGGCAACCAGGAATACGAGTTCTGAGAGCATAGAAAGTACTGAAGTTGAGAAGCAGGTGTCAGTAGGGATTTATTATTCACCCTGTATCACTGAAATGTCACACTCATTCTGCATTTGGTTTGTCAGAAAGAACATTGGCTTTTAGTACATGTCAGGAGAGTAATTTTGAGTAGATTTAGGAAAGCACACTAGAACAGGAGTGATTTGTTGTATCTTGGCCTTTTTTGTTACTTTTCTAGGAAGAAGAAATATTCTATGTTCCAAGAAAGGGTTTTTTGTTTGCTTGCTAAACAAGGAATGAATTTAAATATTTGATATCCTTCCCCCAAAGTCCAAAACAATGAAATATAAATTTCTTGGGAGTTCTGTTAAGTTTGTTGTGATCATCAACAGAACATTCTCCTTGGCTTATTCAGAAAGGATGCTATTCTTAGAGAATCCAAGCAGGGTTCTTAAACTTAGTGACCTAAAGATAACCTGAGTAGCTTTTAGCTTTCTACAGTTCCAGATTTATGGGCTTCAAAGATGCTGTTAGTTCTGGATTGTGGTTCCTGATTGTGCTGTTTAACCAGCAGCGCATGTGACACTGCTACGGATGGTCATCCAATCAAGTGGTTGAGAGCACCAGAGCATGGATTCCTTTTGACTGAATCCTGTGGTTGCTGCTGTAGCTGCAGGACACAATCTACCTGCCAGAGCTCAAGTTCAAGTTCTGTAAATGTCACAACCATGTTCGTATGCCCCTCATCTATTTACTGAATTTTATTATCTCCACTGACCTGAGGCCTTGCATTTAATTTAGGAAAGATGTTTTTAAAGATTTATTTGTTTTTATTTGAGAGGTAGAGAGGTGGGGAGGGGCAGAGGGAGATGGAGAGAGAAATGGAAGCAGGCTCCATGCAGAATGCAGAGCTCCATGTGGGGCTTGATCTCAGGACTCTGAGATCACAACCTGAGCTGAAAACAAGAGTCTTGGAGGCTTAACTGACTGCACCACCCAGGTGCCCCAGGAGATGTGTTTTTAATTATATGTATATAGCAAGTAACATAACACATAACTATGTCATTTTAGTTTCTGAATATAAATAGGATATATTTTTTCCTATACTGCAACCAAACCAAACATTTTTGCTATTTCAGAAGACATGCGGGTACCTCAAGAGAAAAAAAGTTGTTTGCTAATGTCCTGTTTTTGCCTGAGGTTTTATTTTATGTTAAAAGTAATTTTGCCAAGAGCATAGATATAAATCCTGAATTTTGCCCTTCTTATGCTCTTAATTTCTAATGTTAACATCTTTTTTAGGGTAGCCTTTGAATAGAGCAAAATAAAGGCTTTGTATAATGGGATGCAATACAATAAATTCATATGTATTAAGAAAGGATGTGGCCTAGGGTCATATATAATTTAAATAAAATTATTAAAATTAATAATGGGTTCTATATAAATAAGAGAGCTTCATATGATATACTGATATCTAATACATAGTTAATTAGAGATGTTTTAGGCTATCTATATAAAAGTTATATCTCTTGGGCGCCTGGGTGGCTCAGTTGGTTAAGCGACTGCCTTTGGCTCAGGTCATGATCCTGAAGTCCTGGGATCGAGTCCCGCATCGGGCTCCCTGCTCGGCAGGGAGTCTGCTTCTCCCTCTGACCTTCCCCCCTCTCATGTGCTCTCTCTCTCACTCATTCAAATAAATGAATAAATAAAATCTTAAAAAAAAAAAGTTATATCTCTTACTCAGGAATGTAGAGTCAAATTATAAAAATGTTCCAGGGAGAACATTTTTGCAATTGAGCAATGTTTATAAAATACTTAGTTTACAATGCACACTGAGAACATGTCAATTCTAGTCCCTTTACACAATTTGACTGAAAGCATTTCTGAACCCTGAACAGAAATATGTTTTTTGGGGATACCTGGGTGGCTCAGTCGGTTAAGTGTCTGCCTTCGGCTCAGGTCATGATCCCAGGGTCCTGGGATCGAGTCTGGCATCGGCATTGGGCTCCTTGCTCAGCAGGGAGCCTGCTTCTCCCTCCGCCTGCAGCTTCCCCTGCTTGAGCGCACGCACTCTCTCTTTCACAAATGAATAAATAAAATCTTTTAAAAAAACTAGAAATAGTTTTTTGGTTTCCTATATGTGTTTAAGTATTCTGTATTCCTTTTTACATTACTTCCCTTCACAACATGCTTTTTGTTTCTGATCTGATCTTTTCATAGTATCAAAAAATGTATGGATAGAGAAGAAAAGTCATATTCATTAAATAAAATTCCATTTCTAATTCAAGCCCTAACATTGTAATGCTAATATTTGGTTCATCAAATATTTAACCCAAATTAGTTTGTGTTTTTACATTACTTTTAAAGGTTAATTTTTAATATTTCTTTTTTATGTATCTTGGAAACAAAATGTATATTTCATCTTGAATTATGCAGCATAAGCACAATCCAAGCACATTATTGGTTTTTCTTTAAACTTTGATGATTTTTTACTACATAAGTACTGTGGTTTCATTATAAAAGGATTAGAAAATATAGGTTTTTAAAAGAAAAAAACTATCCATAAATTTATGAGTCAGATATAAGCACTGATTACAGTTGGTGTGGACTCTTTGAGACATTATTTATATATATAATATTACAACCCTTGGGGAACTCTAAAATAAATGATAATTATCTCTCTCAAGTATACTTTTATAATATTATAACTATTATTTTATTTTTATATATATTATATATAGCACCATATTTAGTTGTTTACATAAGTTATAATTTATGTCACAAATTCCTATTTTTGAGTAGACTATACATTTACTTTTGTTATCATAAAAATGCTGCTGTCAGTATCCATCTTCATAAAACTATTTCCTTAGTTTAAATTCCTATGTGTAGAACCCAAACACATTTAAAATCCATCATAAAGTTTCCTGTGGAACCTCATATCTTATTTCCCTGCTGGAAGCTTGTTTCTCTGCTTCTAAAAAGTCACCTATGTAGAGGTTAATTCACAGTAGGTAGCATTGTAGACATGAAGTTCATAAACTCTTTTTCTTACCATTGGTATTACATAACACCCAGCCTCTAATTAGATCTACCAAGATTCTTTTTTTTTTTAGCAATTGTAGCTGTCCCAAAATAAAATTTTATCTATCATTCATTTTTTATTTATTCAAATGTAGTTGAGATTCAATTAGAATAAGACATTGTTGAAAATAAAAAGGAATTTAGGTACTCTCCACTCCTGTCATGACTATATGATTGATTAGAACATGATTATAACATTGGTAGGAGTCCTTTGAAGGAGGGTTTGCTCCTTTAAATATCACTCTAACCTCTAAACTAAATCCTCAGCATGGTGTTGGTTTTGGATCGTTCCCTGCCTGCACCACCTTGGACATCATGTTTAAACCCTGAGGCCTTTTCCTATTTCTCACTGTACCAACAGCATATATATCCACCACACAATGTCAGATATCATGAGGGGTATAAACATCCACAACCAAAAAAGGACAGGGGTTCACAGAGAAAGTCTCTTCTGAATTGGAGACATCAAAGGATGGTTTGATGAGATAATATTTGAAGTTGACCTGGAATCAGTAGAATTTTTATAGGTAAAGTAGCAAAGAAAGTTCTCATTATCCCTCTGATTATTACTAGTGAAGAAAGCAGAGTGAGACTGTATCTTCTAATTCTGCCTCTCCCACTTTGTAGCCATAGGTCCTTCTGGGCTAGTCTTGTCATTTGTAGATTGGGTAATACTGCCCTGATGTTTCACCAGAGAGTTGTGAGGTCAAACTGAGATGATGTAACTGAGAATATTTTAAAACTGTACAGCAAAATATGAGCGTTAAGGAACATTTAAATACTCAGTGTTAGCATGTTTGGGGTCAAGATATCAATTCACAGCTTATGGTTCTACCTCAAATGAATAAAAAGAAAGATCATGATATTTCAGTATATTTCAGTATAAATTCAGCTATTATTTTGAAAGCAAGTAACTTACAAGTTAGAGTGTTTGGAATTTTATAGTTACTTCACAGATTATATCCCTAATTGCAATAACAGTTATTAGTTATCAAATACTGTGTTAAGTACTTCACATGTAAGCTTTGTGCCTGGGCCTTAATTTATAAGGTGACTAAATGAAGACATGGAGAAATCAATGCTATTCAAAGAGAAGTTTAATGTCATTCACAGTTCCCCTAGAAATAAGAGGCATGGCTGATCATGCAGGGCCATGGAGGAACATCGGGTTTTGATCAGGAAGCAGAAGCTGGAAAGAGGATAAGGTTAGGCCCAAGCTTTTACTGGAGTTTCTGTGGGAAAGGCAAGATAGGGCAGGATAAACAGTTTAGGGTTGGCTAGTTTGAATAATTTCGACAGACTCTAAGTTTTTTTTTTTTTTTTTAAAGATTTTATTTATTTATTTGACAGGGAGAGACACAGCAAGAGAGGAAACACAAGCAGGGGGAACGGGAGAGAGAGAAGCAGGCTTCCTGCGGAGCAGGGAGCCTGATGCGGGGCTCGATCCCTGGACGCTGGGATCATGACCTGAGCCGAAGGCAGACGCTTAACGACTGAGCCACCCAGGTGCCCCTCGACAGACTCTAAGTTTTACGAGTAGTCCCTAGTTGTCTGATACCTGCCCCTGGAATGATTAAGGCAGAATATTGCCTCTTGGAACACAGGCTGAGAAGAGGGGTATGGCTCTGGATTGGTGACTTTTCATTTTAGAGGCCTGCTCCTGGCTAAGTCCTTTGCTCTCTCTGAGAATTGGCACACCCAGGGAAGCACAGTCTACTCCCAGCAGAAAATATTTTGTAAGATATCAAAACATGATGTAATACAATGTAGTATTTCATTAATCATCATCATGCTTAGCTGAAACTTTATGCTCATTGATTAGTAACTCCCCATTACCAATAAGCTCTAGAAATCCGCTGTATAACACGGTACCTGTACTCAACAGTGATGTATCGAACACTTAAAAATTTGTTAGGACAGCTAATCTCTTGCTGTGTTCTGTTCTTACCACAAAAAAATAAAAATTAAAAAAACTCATCACAACTCAGTAAATAGGTACCACATTCTCCCTATTTTACAAATAAGTACATTGAATCTTAGAGAAATTATGTGATTTGCCCAATGTCACACAAATGTTAAGTGACAGAATAAGGATTTAAACATAATATTCTAAAAGCTGACCACCTGTAACTGCAAAAGTACATGTATATACAGTACTCTAATCATTTATTTTTCATCCTTTAATAGCTAAGGTAATGATAATGTTGGCTGGTGATGATTGCAAACTTAGAAATCATGGTGACTTGCTAAATACAGTATTGAGGCTCAGAAGAGCTAAATGGAGTACCCAAGCTAAGACATTGTTTTGGTAATCATTGCTGCTTAACAAACTAACCCTAAAGTTTGTGATATGAAACATTGGTTTTATTTTGCTCCAGCTTCTTGGAGTCAAGAATTCAGGAAGAGCCTGGCTAGATGTTTTGTTTCTGATTCATGGGTTATCAGCTGGGCAACTGGGACCAGAGAAACCACTCACTTTCAAGATGGTTTCTTCATACATGTCTGGCAGGTTTTCTCTCCTTGACCACTCTCATTCTCCACAGGGTCTCTTATTCTCCACGGCCTATCTATATGGCTTAGGCTTCTCACAGCTTGGTGGTCTCAGAGCATTTCCATTACTTAAATGGCAGCTAACTTCCAGAAGGC